AACTTTAAACTAGCTTTATGTGGCTTGCATCTTGCCTCAGTGCCATTTATATTGGCAAAGAAGTCCTTAAAATAATTTCAGCAAGTTCCCCAAAAAGGTTATATTGAGAAGGGAACTTTTTGTGTAGATACCTGTGCTGTGCTTTACTTGTACATCCCTTACTGGTAAGGAAGGGGAAAAGCCATACTGCAAACCAAAGTATGATGTGTATCAGCAAATATTCAGTGTGGACCCAGCCATAAGTAGGTGAAATGGAGGACCAGTTCTGTATGTGGGCACTGGATAAGTCTAAATCCTGGTTAAGCTTGAAATAGCACATAAATTTTTAAGCCACACGAGGTTAATTAGTCTCCTCCCCTGACCTGAGGAAGAAGACTAGATAATCACATTTTATTTAATAAGATGATCTGTTTTAAAAACCACTGTATAAGAGCACTAAAAGTGACCATATTGAACGTGATTCCTTTTTTTTTTTTTTAAAGAATGTTTAATGTCAACAGGGTCTGGCTTTATTGCATTTATGGGGCTTTTCTTCCTGGGAGCTGCCATGTATGTATAACTCCCATTACCCTCTGGTTCTCAGCTTTAGTTTTCAGTATAGCTCAGCAGAGGATCTTCAGCCGTGGTGAACCATATTTTTCTGCCTTGGTGCAAATGTAGGAGTAATGCTCTTTGCAGATAACACAGGTTATCTGCCCCATTAGCTGAATTGTACTTTCTGAAGAAATATGCATACATTATCACTTAGCTGACTTTTGCCAATAAAGTGTTAGCTTAAGAGTAATCTATTGGCATAAGCCTTTTCAGAGGCCTTACAAGTGAAAACATACAGTTGAAAAATAAATCCTTGAGACAGGTAGTTGTGTATGAGAGCAGTGAGACTATTTTGTATCAGTAGGGATATTAGCACCATGGGAGTACAAGTTGAAACAGTGAACTGTGTGCTTCTGCAATATGTGAGGAATACTTGACTCCTTAAGTATCACTATTGTGTTAAAAGTTATCTAATGTCATAACCTTCATGCTAATTTCAAATCCAATGGATTTTCCTGCACAGATGAAAATTGTAGAAAGAAGCTCAAAGATAAAAGTAAGGTTTCTGGTGTCTTTCCACAAGCATTTGCATTTCAGAAGTGCTTTCCAGAGTAGCTTTCTGCATGTGTTTGCAAAACTGCTTTAACAAACGTTGTTAGGTTGCGTCATCTATAACCCTTAGTTACACTTACAATAAAATTTGAGAATAAAGGTGGGTATGTCACACTGAAATACAAAGTTTTCTGAAGAAAAGCTGATAGACAAAGAGAGATTTGATCTCTTGGGGACTCACAAAACAGTTGCCTCTCAATGCAATGTGGTCGCAATCCAGTAAACCAGATTTTCTGTTAGCATAACTGAGCGAAAATCATTGGAACTGGATCAGTTGCAGTTTTAGCCCAATGTGTCTAAATGTCTTTTATCTAAAAAGCCAGCCACGCAGCTTGTCTTCTTCTTGCATTTCATTAAAGAGGAAAATGTTCTTCCCACTTTTCTGAGAAATTTTAAGAAGTTAAAAACAGTTAAAATGCTTTCTTGCCTGTGAATTTGGCCACCTGCCTGTGTTTGTAACAAAATTTAAAGTTTACTTAATTTATGCAAGGTAGAGTTTTAGCAAAAATGGAGATTATTTCCATTCTTTTTGAATTTCTAGTCCAGAATATCTCCAAAATCTAACCTTGTTAGAACATACACGTTGCCATGTGTTTATACTTCTTTGTAAATAAGGATTATAGATGAAGCACGAAACACTGATATTTGTATTAGGGATATTTTCCAAGTCTGAACTACAATATGTATTCCAGCATGACTGCTCATCACAGCAAATACTTGTATCATTCCATTGCGCTGTCCTCATTTCTACATCCATACTGAATTAAGACTAAGCATCACTGCACAATGCTTTCTTCATCATATCCATTAATCTTACTGCTTTGTATAGTGGGTTTTTGAGATGCCATTTGGGGTATTTGTTGATTGTTGTAATGAGAATGTGTTTTATTGCACTCCAAATGTAGTATTTTGTATTTTGGCTTTTTGTTTCAGAATTATTTGACTATTTGAAAGAAGGAGATAGTGAAAGTCAAGCAGTAGTTTTACTCTTGACTTTTTCATTTTCCTAAGGCTGGGGGGGTGGGTAAGAAAAGGTTTTGAAGAAAAAGGGTTTTCTTTTATGTATTTCCATATAAAATAGCATTTAAGTGGTTTGCATTTTGTCTTATAATTTGTAAATTTACTTTCAGATATTACCGAGTTGCTTCTAGGTTTTTTGCTTTTCTTATTTCCTTACACTGCCTTATTTAAATTGACTTAAAGACCTGTATTTTGTTTCTAGATATAGAGGTACAGAAAATGAAGAAGGCGGTAGAGTCTCTAATGGCAGCAAATGAAGAGAAGGTAGCAAAGTCATTACTTTTTCAGTAATTATTCATCAGATTGAGTTAAATCTCTAAGAAATCTTCACATATGAACTTGTCACAATTCAATTAAAAATTCAAATTTTTAAGAATCAATGATTCACTATAGTCAGAAGCACTGCAGCGCCTTTAAGGGACTATAACTGAGCATTTATCAGCTGTCACATGTACACAGAGTCCTTACAGTGTTGTGTCATTCAATTACACCATGTTCTGAAAATTTAAAGAGCTCCATACAAGTCCCATGAGGTATCCCAGGCTGCATTTTCAAAAGGGCTTTCTGTAAAGTATTATTTGTTATCATGTACGCTTTTGTGCATTCATATGCATATGCATTTTGTAGGATGTTTTCTTTTGATCACCAAAGCCCTAAATCCTTTGATTACTCCTTTCTTTGTACATGGCAAATTTATTATACTCTACCTTTGACTTAACAAGGGAGCTGAAATCCACTTTCAAGGCTGGGACCATTCTGGTGATTAACCAGATTATAGTTCTTGCTAAATACAAGTTTTGATATTTCAAAGCCTGTCAAGAGTTCTGGGTCCTGTCCCATCTGCAATTCCCATTTCTTTGTCTCAAAAACAAACTGAAAATTATCTAGTATTCGTGTTTCTTATTTTTGATTTGCTGAAGGAAGAAGCACAGTCACAACTTTCCTTTATTTTAGGATCGGAAGATAGAAGAGCTTCGTCAATCTCTGAATAGGTACAAGAAAGTTCAAGACATGGTGATATTGGCTCAAGGTAAAAAAGGTATTGCACAATCAAAAAAAATTAAATGCTATTCTCATTTAAAATCTAAGTGCATTTTGGTAGTGTTATATTAACTCTTAGACTTACTATCTTTGAAGGCTTCTCTTAGGTAGAGTAAAAGCCAGTTCTTCAACTGGTGTGAACTGGAAAATTGCCTTTTCTGTCCCGGAAGCTGCACATTTGGGTGCTGTCCCATTTACCTTTGTTTACTATTATTGTCACATTGCTTATTTCTCCCTTATCATATTCCAACTAATTCTACAAGCTCTCAGGCTCTTTCCATAGCCTCCTGAAATGCCTTTCATGGCTGGCTGCTGCATTAACTGCTAAAAATTGCTGTTCCCTCTCTTGCCTGTATTCCTGCGGAGGGGTTGGTAGCTGAGCAGAGCAATGCCTGAGCACGCACATTCCTAGAAGCCAAACCAGCACCGCCCCAGCGGCTATGGATGCTGTAATAGCAATGCCTGAGAGCTGCAGAAATGTCTGTAGCAAAATGGGATGTGCTGCCAGGACTCTGTTGCCATGACACGCCATGTCTTTGTCATGTAATGAAGCCTTCACAAACCACCATGTGCAGCAACTGTGGAATAGTTCTCCTTCCTTACCTCAGTGGAGGGTCAAGCTGGCTTTTTGTCATCTTTCCTACTAGTCTCTTTTCACATTACCCCCCCCCCCCCCCAAAAAAAAAAGCCACCTCTGCCACCAGATAATGAGCTGAACCGTGTGGCTGAAGTGGTAGCTATAATATATACCATAATGTGTAGTGGTACATTTCATGTGTTCTGAGACTGGTAGAGGTTTCCAGATCCAGGAGCTTCTGATCCCCAAACGAGATAAATGTTGAGGGTGTTGGTCATCAGTTTGATATAACTGCATTGAACACCCTATTTGTCTTCTTCCTTCCTTAAAAGAAAAGCATAAGAAACATATGGAGAGCATTACACTGAAAGGGCTCTGGGTTTTCAGATGAAAACACATAGAATTTAGAAAATTGGCATCTCCCTTTATAGCAATAATCCTGGGCTATTTGCATTACAGTCCTAGGATGGTTTTTTCCCTGCATCATCCTGTTCTTTCAGTGCTCAAGTTGCGTTTTATAGGTCGCTGTCCTCTGAAAGACCTGTCCCCAGCAAATTTTGGACATCAACATTCTGATATTGTGTGCACATATATGTGCAACTTAAAAGTCTGTGCACCACAGTGCTGTATTACCTTATTATGGAAAACTCCTTTGTCAGTGAGTCCTCTGAAGGCCAGAGAAGGCCAGCTCAGCCTTCCACAGGCCTTGAATTGACCTGAGCTCATTGCCTGAGCTTCTTTAGGACAGCCAAGGGCTTGTAGCTTTTGTTGGCCATGCAAATGTTGGAGGTGGATGACCTTCCTAGGAGAGCGATGTAGGAGTCCCCAGAAATCTTGGCAATGCTAGGTTTGCAGTTGGACTAGATGATCGTAATGGTCTTTTCCAATCAAACTATTCTATGATTCTAAATCCTTTCAAAATGTGAAGATTGTCAATAGCCAGAAATGAGTGAGGAGGCAAAGTACATATTTTTGTGGCGGTGGATTAACATTTGGGCTCTTGGGTCTGCTGTCTCGGGCCAAGGCAGGAAAAGTGGAGGGCAGAGCCCCATCCGGACATGTTGCCAAGACTGAAGGTGAGATCCAGGGAAAAGAGATATTCCTGGTGCCCCTCTTTGCTTCTGCCTTACTTTTGAGAGGCCATCCCTGTGGGGAGGTGGTGACTGCAGCAAGGAGATCCTGATCTCCACTCCTGAGAGTGCCAGCTGATTTGCAAGGCCCTGTGAAAGCCCTCAGCCATGGTCTCCAGATTCCTGTCCTTCTTCCCTCTGAGCACTGTAGCCCTAAGGTGGGCACAGTGGTGGGTTCAAGAAGCAGCTTCTCTTACTCCTGCATCATGGATGTAAACTGGATGGGAGCTGGTGTGTGCTGGAGCGTGTTGGGCTAAAAACTGGCTTGGCTTGACCATGGGTCACAAAGAGAAGTGTTTTTGCCACCACCCTGTTGACAGGTGGTTCCCTCTCCCCTTGTTTTAAGGGAGTTGAATCAGGCACTCCTCACCATCTGTGGGCTTTGGATCTCAGTATGTAAGGGCTTTTCCTTTCTCAAAACCACCACTTGAGGGCACTAAGGACACAACTGCAAGTGTTTGATCTGCCAAGGCAGATCAGTGAGGGAAGAGATGAGGGGGTGATGAGGGCAAAGCACCATACTGAGTGTTGGAGGAGTAGCATTTTTCAAATAGGTATTGCTGTGTGCAGTGCTGTGCCTTCAAAGACAGGAGGATGTTAAAACAGACCTTGAGTCTCTGGGAGCTGTGCTTCACGATCAGTTCATGGAGCAGGGACAGAGATACCAGACAGTGAAAAATGAACAAGAGAGTTTTTCACTGTGAACAAACTTGGGCTTTTATTTGCCTCAGATCTTTCTCAATGAATGCTAGGTTTTTGCTTGCTTTTTAGGAAGTATATGGTTGCCTTGAGCTTTTTCTTGTTGGTGTCTGTACTCTGGTATCGATGGCAAGTGTGGAATTTTGGTACTACTGGGGCAGTTCAGGAGCAGCAGATCACTCACTGGGAACAGAGGGTGCCAGGTGTTGGTGTGGACTATGGCATTAACTGAATGAGACGCTCAGTTTGTGACAGTCTGCAAACAGAATGCAGTCACTTAAAAGCTGGTGTTAGACTCTTGTGCAGTGGACTGTGCTTTTCCTGTGGGTGACTTAAAGATAGCATAAAGACATCTTAAGTTTCAGGCAGACTTG